TGAGAACTTTTAAGATCTACTCTCTTAGCCGGGCTCCTGGGTGGCTCAGTCGGTTGAGCATCTGACTTCAGCTCAGGTCATGATCTCACCACTCGTGATTTCGAGCCCTGGGTGCCTGCTGTAGATTCTTTGTGTGTGTGTGTGTCTCTCTGCTCCTCCCCTGCTAGCATTCTGTCTCTCTCTCTCAAAAATAAATAAACCTAAAAAAAAAGTTAAGATCTACTCTCTTACCGTCTTCCAATGTGCAAAACAATATTGTTCACTACAGTCATCATGCCTTACATTATATCCTCAGGCCTTATTAACTGAAAGTTTGTACCCTTTTACCTCTTTCACCCATTTCTTCCACCTCCTAATCCTTGTCTTTTACAACCACCAACCAATCCATTCTCTGTATCTATGAGTTAGTTTTTTAGATTCCACATATAACTGAGATCATACAGTATTTATCCTTCTCTCTGACTTATTTCACTGAACATAATGCCCTCCAGGTCCATCCAGGTTGTCACAAATAACAGAATTTCTTTCTTTTTAATGGCTGGATAATATATAAATATATCTCACATCTTTATCCACTTACCTATTGATGGATAGTTCCATTGTTTTCATGTGGTGACCATTATAAATAATACTTCAGTAAACATGGGGTGGGCATTCAGATACCTTTTCAAGTTGGTGATTTTATTTCCCAGAAGTGGGATTGCTGGAGCATATGGGAGATCTGTTTTTAATTTTTTGAGGGAACCTCCATAGTATTTTCCACAGTGGCTGCACCAATTTATGTCCTCACCAACAGTGTAAAAGTGTTCCCTTTTCTTCACTTCTGTAGCTGATCAGCACAATAACCATCACTACTCTTTATTATTATTATTATTTAATTTTGGTAAAAAACACGTAACATAATATCTACCCTCTTAAATTTTTAGATGTAGCATACAGTATTGTTAACTATATGCACATTACTTTTGAGTCTTCAAAGGAGAATTTAATTTACTAAGTAATTTGTGTATATAATTAGTATATATATTAGTTTATATATGTAATATATGCTCGCTTATATATATAATGTATATAAATTATTGTGTATATGTGGGCATATATACGTGTGTGTATATAATTTAATTATACATATATAATTAAAAATAGCTTAAGCCACATAATAGCTTAAGTAGTGTATTCTAATTGCTGATCTAAATTAAAAGAAAAATAAATAGACACCTACCTACATCAAAAAGTATCATCTTAAATTAGCTTTTATAAGAAAGTAAATGAATTGAAATAAAGAATGGAAATATAGGAGCAACCCATTTGAGTAGAGGTGACCATTTGCTTATGTTTACTGTACAGGGTCATCAATCGTATTGCCTTTTTCCAAGGCCACAAAGGTAAATGGTCAGGAGAGGTTCACTCTGAGCATCTTTGTCATGATTAGAGTCAAAAATGAGGAGATACGTTTGCAGACCCAGAAACCTAATGGGCAAGCACTGTGGCGGGGAAGGAGCAGGGAACAAAAAGATGGAAGTCCCCAAAAGAGAAACAGCCCTACTTTATGATAGGGCCCCATAATTTCAAACTGTGACACTAAAATAAGTCCTTACCATCCCGCTGGAACACTAATCCTTATTACCCAGAGCACAGTGGCTCCCAGACTTCCAGGAGAGCCAACAGTACCACCTACTCAGGTCAGCCCGTTTGTGTCAGATGCGTATACCTCCATAGAGCAACCAGTACTCTTTGTATTACGATTTGTGCAAATACTTATGTAAAACACACAGTTAAGGGTCCCATAGTTTCAGAGTCGTTAATTTCATTTTTTAATAACGCCATACGGCCAATTCTTTTTCCTATACAAGGATTCTCGATTCTTCTAGCAGGATATACCCGTCTGAAGAAACTTGGTCATTCATCATAAAAAGTCATCATCAAAAAAAAAGAAAGAAACTGTTAGAAAGCTAAGGGTAAAGGGGATTTTTTTAAGAGAGAGAGAGAAAGTGCACTCGAATGGGGGAGGGGCAGAGGGAGAGAGAGACAGTCTCAAGCAGGGCTCAATCCCATGTCCCTGTGATCATGACATGAGTTGAAATCAAGAGTCAGACACTTAACAGACTGAGCCACCAGACGCCCCTAAAAGGGATTCTTTTTTAATAAACATACAAACCAGATATAAAGACATAAAAGAAGTAGATCAGCTCTCAGACAACAGCCACCTTTTAAAACCTTGAAGGGAAAAACATCGTTAATATCAAAATACTACAGCCACGCAATGTACATCTTCCGTCCACCTGCCAGTAACTAGGGTCAGGAAGATGCGAGAAATTGCTACTTTTGTTTTAAGATCTTGTCGTGATGTACACAGATAAGTCTGCATTATTTAAAGGAAAAAATCAGAAAATTTGTTGTTAGGGGTTCTTTGTGAGTCTATTCACACTCCAGATTTTCCTAAGGATGCAATGAGACAGAGTACCAGGAATGCAGCTGGAATAGAGTGCACTTATCCCAGGGGCATTACATGAAGTGTAGAGCAGAGACTCCATTCTGGGGTCTGGCACAGAAACCAATTGATAGTGTTCCAGCTGATGTTGTCCACAAAACCCAGTCCTCTTTAGAAATGTGAATCCGTGCTTCCCAAAGAGTACTGTATCCTTCTTACAAGAATACATCTCTCTTAAAAGATTTCTCATCTGCCTAATTCAGAGCGATTTGTAACCCTGAAAGAATTTTTATTGTTGGACTTTGGTTGAGCATGGTTGGATATGTAATAAAAATAAAATTTGGTCTCCTCACACTAACACTATAACATAACTACTATAAACAACATTTAACATTAATAATATATTTAGAAAGCAGATTGTATGATATATGTATGGTATATTTCCAGTTGCATGCTTAAAATATTTATGCACAGAGGGGGAAAAAAAACAAGGCATATACAAACCGTTCAGAGTGTTTTTCTGGGAAGTGGTATTATGAGTGTATTTCATTTGTTGTTGGGGTTTTTTTTCTATGTTTTGTAAGTGTTTGATAATAAACATCTCTTATTTTGAAAGAAGGAAATTGTTTTAAGATGGGCTCCCAAGAGCTTTCGCGACTGAAAACCATGAGATCCAAGGCTGGAATCTGTATGTTGAAAGTCTAGGCTGTGCTGTCTAATATAGCAGCCACTATTCTCAAGTAAATATTTAAAATTATAATTAGAGGCACCTGGGTGGCTCAGTCGGCTAAGATCCAACTTTGGCTCAGGGCGTGATCTCAGGGTTCATGAGTTCAAGCCCCGTGCCGGGCTCTGTGCTGACAGCTCAGAGCCTGGAGCCTGCTTCAGATTCTGTGTCTCCCTTTCTCTCTGCCCCTCCCCTGCTCATGCTCTGTCTCTCTCTCTCTCTCTCTCTCTCTCTCTCTCAAAAATAAGTAAACATTTAAAAATATTTAACTTATATTTAAATTAATTTAAAACAAACTAATTTATTAACAATTTAATTCTCTGGTCACACTAGACACATTTTAAGTTTCAACAGCCACCTTTTCATCATCACATAACATTGCATTCAACAGTCCTGGCGCAGGCAGCTTACCAAACTGTGCCCTGAACACTGACGACAAAAGTGAGCCAGTTTTCATGTGTCCAAAGGAGTGGACATATGCCCTTCACCAGAGACCCTGAGAGATTCTTCGTCACCAGTCCCTTTTATACACCTCACCAGCCCGAGGCCAGCTAAGCTCAGGGTTTTTTTTTTCCCAAAGCCATTCAGCCAGTTGGTGACAGATTAAGGGTGAGAACTCAGGGCTTCTAGCTCCGAAGACATAGCTGCCGCCAACATGTCACTATTGCCATCATCTCCAGAAAACTAAAGCTTCCCGAACAATATTTGAGTTCAATTCACCTCAGTTTTGTTTCAAAGACATTTTTGGGTGCTTACAATGTGATAGGCACCATAATAAACCTGAAAATACAAAACCAAGTAAGAGACGTGCCTCTATCCCCATTGGATGCCTAAGTGCTACCACAGAAGGGTATCCTAAGTGTGTGATAGCACAGATTATGGACAGGTCTGTTCTTGGGAAATCTAGAAATGCCTCACCTATCATAGACAGGTTGGAGTAAGGTCTTGACCTTTGGGCACCCAAAGCCACACATTAGCAATTCTTCCATATTCTCAATTTTCCCCATCCTCTGGGAGAAATGAGGCCAGACTCCATTTTTTGAAATTTAGTTGATCCCTGACCTAATTTTGCTTTGTTTCTATTTTTGTTCTTTGGTTTAACTTCATGTGGGATACTGAGATACCTTCAACTCTTATAATATGAACTAAGTTTCTTATTTGTAGGCCTGCTTTTATATATGTAAAATAATTTTAAGTCTTCAACTGAAATAAAATAAAATACTGCTTTGATATTTAGTCATCCATCCCACTTTGGACTATATAAAAACAAATAGAAATTTGAATGAATGGAGGCACCTAGGTGGCTTAGTCAGTTAAACAACTGGCTCTTAACTTCAGTTCAAGTCATGGTCTCACAGTTAGTGAGTTTGAGCCTCACATGGGGCTCTGTGCTGATAGTGTGAGCCTGCTTGAGATTCTCTCTAACTCTCTCTCTCTGCTCCTCCCCTACTCACTTGTGCTCTTTCTCCCTCTCTAAAAATAATAAATAAACTTTAAACATAAATTTTGGGGGCACCTGGGTGGCTCAGTCGGTTAAGCGTCCGACTGCAGCTCAGGTCATGATCTCATGGTTCGTGAGTTCAAGCCCCGCGTCAGGCTCTGTGCTAACAGCTCAGATACTGGAGCCTGCTTCGGATTCTGTGTCTCCCTCTCTCTCTGCCCCTCCCCCACTCATGCTCTGTCTCTCTCTGTCTCAAAAATAAATAAACTAAAAAAAAAATAAATAAATAAATTTTTAATGAATGATTATTTTTCAGCCAGGTGTGTTGGAAATGTTTAAACGCAAACTAACGACCCAGAGCTTCCTATTCCCCTATAAATCATGTTTCTGTGTTTTAACAGATGCAATGCTCTTGGTGGCAGAGCGACTGGAAGGACCATTCAACATTGAGTCTGTCATGGACCCAATAGATGTCAAGATCTCTGAAGCCATTATGAACATGCAGGAAAACAGCATGCAGGTGTCTGCAAAGGTATTTGCTTTAGTCATGTTTCTGCTAATAAGGAGCGTGCAGGAATCTAAAAATGGAGTAACTAGAGATGTCAGCTTGGATTATAAATTCTAATACATCGTCTGAGAGCTTGTCCTGTTGAGCTACAAATTTGCTATCTCATTCAAAATGTCTACCAAAATGGCACTGAGCGAGGAGGCAATCTTTTATTCTCAGCTACTCAATCATAAAGTTTCAGAGAGCCCCAGGAATATTGACTAATCCCTCACATTTGTGAGCAGTTTGGGGGGAATTTTCTTTTTAATATGTTTGAAATCTCTGCACACCCTCAGCCTGTTCTCTCTCTAGGAACTTCTCATTATATCTTCAGCTGTGCAAACCCAGCAAATGTTCTGTATGTTCCGTAGTAAATAATTAAACATTTCATCTGACTTCCTGTTTTAAGATGACCGTGTAACCTTCATTAATGAATCTTTAGGGGAAAGTGCTCCTTTGTATGAAGCCAAGCACACGTTAAAAGAAGAAAAGCACATTGTCATAAATCATATGAGACAGAGTCTGCTGCAGAGTACAAATGCCAGGTGCCCAATTTTTATGTGTCTCCGCTCAGTTGAAGATAAACAGAGCCTGCGTTAAGGGAAATTAAGAAGTTTGCCAAGGGTCTCCAGCCTGTCCCTTCATCGCCTCTTTTCACCCACAATGGTGACTGCACAAAGTTCTTATGTTCTTTTTCCTGGTCCCCTGTCATGAAGCACTAACCAAATCTATATCCGTCCTTTAAACCTGGTTGGTGACTAAGTGATTACGTTTTAACTGAGAGTCATTCACGACAAAATATGTCAGGCAAAGAGATGCATGCTTCACCTTCTTCGATTTTTAAAATCCTTTGTGAAAGAGATTTCAAATATAATCAAGGAGGAAGGGATGTGTGATGGGAAGAAACTGCAGAGCAGAAAGACAGCCATGGAATCAGACTAGGTCTCCTTGGACGAGTCTGAATCAAGCCAGATTTGGGCTTTTCAGGGTGAACTGATAGGAAGCAGGGTAAGAAAGCGTCTGGCCTGGGTCCCTTTCTCTCTGTCCTTGGAAGAGGAACAAGCCAAACGTTTCATAGGCCAAGATCTGGGTTGTAATGAGCTTTGGGGGAGCCTGTGTGAGGGAGGATGCTCCAAATTACCACCACCTGTTGTGGAAATAGCCCATTGGGGGAGTTCCTCAAAAAGCTATTTTCTTTCTTTCCCGGGAAAAAAATGGCAATCATTTATTCCTCTCAAATCGATTGCTTAGACGGGGATTCGTGTTGTTTTGTGAGGCCACTATCTCAGCATGCTTGAGTCACCAGAGGCTAAGGTTGCTAATATTCAAAGCAGCCCAAGCGTGAGCGGCACACTGACAAAGGTGTCTGCAGTTGGAGGCCATCATACTTCTTAGAAGGATTTGCACTGGAGCGTGAGCATCCGTGTTCAAGTTATTCTGTTAAAAATTCTCGAAGAGGTCAGATGGACTCTCTTTAGTGCAAGAAGGTGGATGAGGCGTTTCTGTGGAATTTGTCCAACTACATTAGAAGCGTAGGGCTGTTAATAAGGAATGTGCTTTTAAAAAGACACATTTCTTGCTAAGAAATGTCAAAATCAGGAGTAGAAATAACATAGGGCATGTAAGAGTACACTCACATGAGAGGAGACAGTAGAGTGGGTCATAAAATACGAAAAATGTCAAATGGGCTAGAAACGAAAAAGGTGTATCTGGTAGCCTTGGCACTGGGCAAAGGGGAGCGAGTTAAGGAAGGGGACGAAGGAGAGGCCCTCCCAGAAAGAAGGATGGGGGGCAGGCTACAGTCTGGAAGAGGGTTTGAGGAAGAGCCAAAGGCAGCCTCGCACGCAGGGAAGAAGTAACAGGTGGTTGGAATTTGGACACATTTAGCAGGAAACACCAGTAGGATTTGCTGAAGGGGTGGATATGTTCCTAAAGAGGCTTTATTGCCTCAAGGGAATGGAATTTGGAAATAGGTAGCTTCATTTTCCATATAAACCACATCGATGAAGTCACGAATGAACGAAAGTCTAAAATCTACATTCTAGCTAAGAATTGGAGGGTTGCATTCTTCCGATTTCAGAAGCCCCTCAGTCACCCTTGATAAATAAACATTGTCAAGGAATCGAAGTTCTAGATTTCCACACTTCCACCACAGTATTTACATCATCAGACATCCTTGCCTTCTGATACGGCTTTGAGTGAGACCATAAGCTATTTTCTCATTGGGGGGGTGGAGGAGGGGGTGGGCAGACATCCTGCGCGTTGTAAAGCTTACAAATTAAAATGACTTTTTGCTCTAGGATATGATCGGCATCTCCTTGGAAAATCATTTATCTTATTACAACCAGGGGCTAATAGAAGACATTCCAGAGCCTCTTTCCGAAAAGCAACAGTATTTATCACTACTAGACCATAGGTGTTGAATGCTTACTGCAAGTAAGCGACGGTACTCGGCTTTATATGGTTCATGTTACCCAATATTTATAGCAATGCTTATGATGAGATAGGATTTCCCCCTTATTTTCCAGATAAGGAGACCAAGGCTTAGAAAGGTTAAGTAACTTACAAACCCCTCATGGTGCATGAGGAGTGCATAGAAGGGTGTCTGGCGACAGAGCCCACTTTGCTAGATCACTGGTTACCACGATGAGGTGCTCCCAAAGCCAGTCTCTCACAAGGGTGGAGTTCAGCAAATCTGTGCTGAACAGATAAAATATTAAGAGAAAGTTCAAAGACTTTCAGTCATACCTTCATGAGAAGCTGAGGAAACAGAGTGACAAAACCAGAAGGACCCAAGTTGTCTGTCTTTCTGTCCAATTCCCTTCATAACTGTGCCTCACACTTCCCACCATGCTGAATTCTCATGAAAGAGTTCTCTTGTGTAGCCTCATCACGTACTGCTTCCAGCCTTTCCTGGGGCGGTGGTAGTACAAAGTATAAAAGTCTACTTTTGTCTCCCTTTTACTCTCTGAAGGCCGAAGACGAACACACTGCAGTTTCAGAAAAAGAAATTCCCCTCTCTAATGGTTCTCCTCATATCTGTAGGAGGGAACAGCTCATCTTTTGTGCCCAGTCACGGACCCTAAATTAGTGGGATTTACCGACCAATGGAAAGATCTGTTCTCACCATGCATGCTCCAATCTTATCTTAGATCTGTTTTTATAGATATTATCAAATCCTTTTTCCTCTCCTATTTAGCCCACAACTAACCTGTTATCTGTAAGGGACACTGACATTCCTTTCCAAAAATACATTGGTTAGGGGCGCCGTGCTCAATCAGAAGAATATGCAACTCTGATCTTAGGATCATGAGTTTGAGCCCTACACTGGGTGTGGAGATCACCTAAATAAATAAATAAAGTTAAAAAAATACATTGGCTATATGAAGTTGTATAATCCAGGTATAATATTTTAGGAATAACATTATAGCACTTATTTTAAACTCTTGGTTTGTATATTCTTTGTATAATATTATGTTATATAACATATTACATATATCATTGTATGTGTATATACACATTTAAGTTTGTTTTTTTTTTGAGAGACAGATAGAGAATGAGCAGGAGAGGGGCAGAGAGAGAGGGAAACAAAATCTCAAGCAAGCTCCACGTTGTCAGCACAGAGCCTAGCGTGAGGCTTGAACTCATGAACCATGAGATCACAACCTGAGCCTTAATCAAGAGTCAAATGCTTAACTGACTGAGCCACCCAGGGGCCCCTGTATATATACAATTTTAAAGACTTGAGACAAAAGCATGTTAAAATTTGGTTGCCTCTTTTTGGGCAAATAATCACCTAGTAACATGATAATCATCATTGCCAGCATTAGTTGAGCACTTATTATATTTATTCAACAAATACCCTCTCATGTACCAAGCCTGAGGAATATGGTAGAGGACAAAACAGATCCTCTGCCTGATGTCAGTTTCTTTCTAGATGCTTTATGTATTTGTCTCAAACCCTTGCTGCAATCTTGCAGAACATCCATGTCCTGATTTTATAGGTAAAGAGTGTTAAATTCACAGAAATTAAGTAGCCTGCCTGAGGTCATGCAACTAACAAGGGACAGAGCTGGGATTACTACCGCAAACAGTCTGATCCAAAGAAAAAAGACTTTCCCAGTGTGCCACTGTTTCTTCGGGGTCTTCCCACCTGGTCCAGACATACTTCAGCCCTGGGGAAAACAGCCTTCGAAGAGAGGGCTATTGCCCAACACATACCACAGAGAACCTTCCCCAATGAGAAACACATGCTGTTAGTTCTTCAAGTCCCAACCAAACAACCTTATCACATTCACCGACTTAACAATCTTCATCACACACAGGAAAGTGCCCTCATTATTCCACCACCTCTGTTACCTACCCAAATCAAAGAACTTTGCAGGTCTGTGGAAATTCCCCAAGGGAAGGGAGAACAAAACTTGCTGCGTCCCTGCCTGTGAACTGCAGATGTGTTGATAGTCTCCTTCCAATCCTATCAGGGAAGATGAAACTGATCTCACTCGATATAATTTAACTGTATTAGGAATAATTTCAAACCTAATCCAGGAAAAGATTGGTTTGTCAGATATAATCTAATTTAAGAAGGGAGACATTAAATTCCAATTGAAACCATCCATTCAATTAATGCTTATTACAGAAGAGGGTAGAACCCATTACGGAAGAACAGTGTGGCCTTCAGGTACTTAATTTTCTCCAGACGATTCTTTCTGAATCTCCAGCACAAATGAAGATTTAAAAAAAGAAAAAGAAAAGAAAAAAAAAACTAAGAGGATAGAAAAGAGAATGTAATAATATCTGCATCTAGGTAGTGGGTTTTAGTTTCCTCATCTGTGAAATGAAGGGTTCTTTGAAATGTGCTTTTCTGGTTCTGCTCAGCTGATAGTGTTGTGAACATTATCTTTTTATCTCTTCACTACTGGTTAGGTTTCCTTTTTGAGCACCCAAATATTTTTCTTTGGATCTTTTGTCTTTCGAAACATTCA